CGTGTTTTTCGTCAAGTTATTCGATATTCAATACAAGCCAGATTAAGATTTCTCCAAGATAATGTTTTGACACCACCCTAAAAGGTTTTCATTGATATTCTCAACACGTTGCTGTATATCTAAATAGAGATAGAAGATGTTTGCATTATACTTATTGTTTATGTCAAACACACAAATAAAAAGAGCTAAAAATCTTACACTGAATTCTCAAGTTTTCATCATCAATCATATTGGAGATCCGTTTCCTGACAGGAAAGAATCTTGAAATCAATTCTTTCAGAAATTCTTGATAAGTACTTTGATGGGATTCTCTGCGCTTTTAATATTTAAGAGTAAACATATTTATAAAAGTTCGATGTGGAAAAGTTAGACACCTAAATATACTTACGACTTTATCGATATCTTTTATTTTGTCACCCAAAATATAGAATAAACGCGTTATTTCTTGTAATACTTCAACGGCCATAACAAATATTGCACGCCTCTCCGAGTTTTGAAAGTTTAAATAATCAAAAGGTGGAATATCAGTAAAAATTTCAGCTATCAATCCTTGATGCCCGCTGATAAAATTGGAAACCTAAAGCAAAATAAGTACATCTTAACAGACATTACACAAGACATTCATGGTTAAGTAAACCATTTTACCTTATTCAAGGCTTTTTCATCACACCCAACAGTTGCAAGAATGCAAGTGATAAGACGAATCACCATCATTAAAAGATCATGATATAGTTTATATGCTGGTTTTCCATAGGAATCTACAGTGAACAAATATAAAATAGATCAAGTAAATGCATAACGATCCATCTGATCTCAAGTTGGCTTCAGTTTGATATTACCTGTATTATGACTATTAAAACTTGGTCGTTCATTTAAGAAAGTCAATTCACCCAAATATTCAATAACACCTTTCTTCAGTAATTCTAAGGAAAGGTCGTGACGTTGAGCAAGACACAGTAAAAATCCCATTCTGGCTTCAAATACGTATATTGCATGCATTGCATTTAAGTCTAATTACAATTTTTCTTATGAGAATAAAATTCACACACATATTGACCTATTGACTAATAATATTGTGACTGAATAACTTACCTGGTTGTTGTTCTTTTGCTTGCAATAGTAAATCGTTTTGACTTGTTAAACTCGAAATGAGGCTTCCAAGAAAATTAGATTGTATAGATTTAATAATGAAATTTCCTTTTTCTTGTTTGAATAATCTGTAAATAGCAGTCAATGCATTTAAAGCACACAGCTTTCCAACTACATGTCCATTTGACGCGTCTTCAAAAATAATATCGAGTAATCTATCTCCAACACCTTTAAGGAGTTTTCCAGCACCAATAGCTGATTGAACATCGATATAATTCAAATAATTATATATTGTGGCATACAAATTATTGCGTACTTCAGGTGGGATTCCTGGCACGAAAAGACATTCGAGAATTTGACTAAATATAGGTGAGAGATTCCGTGATGCTACCCTAAATTGAGATCGTAGAGTGTGTAGGCGCATATGATCTGACCGTATTGCTGTGATTGCTGCAAGAATTACTTTACTGAGAACAATTGCAATTGCATTTCCCTCGCGTTGCAATGTAGTTAATAATGTGGAAATGATCTCGAGAAAAGTAGTCTCACGTACATGAAGTCGTAAGCGAGTATAATGGTCTACAATAGTTACTTCAATTACTTCTCTCCAGGCCTTAAACCCTTCATACCTAGAAAGGTTAAATTCTTCGTTACGATTTAGATAGTAACAATATCTTAATATATGCATCAGCTTTTTACGTAAGCTGCCATCCTGTGCAATGCGTGATTGATCAAATGCCTGATTTAATTCAGAGAAAATATCTTGTAGTCTATATCTTTTATTCCCTCGTTCATTAAGCATTAAGCAAGCTTTATGGTTGACTAGATTAAAGAAATTCTCTGGTGCATCTATTTTCCATGGATCGTTCCAATCCAATTCCAGCATATGCAAAATTTCACGAGTTTTGATCGCAGAAGGTGCCAAAATTTCCTCATCTGTTGTACCTTCACCTTGCGGTTTTATTATACTGGCCCCAAGTATCAAAGCTAATAATTGTTCAATACCAGAAAGTGTTTGGCATTTACGTAATTCCAAAGCCAATATTTTCATCAACCATGTCCTTTCACTAAGGTTTGCACAAAGATTAATTAAATCAATAGGAATTGATTGACCGTTATAATTTGTGATTGCACCAGAATCCCAAGAAATGGATTGACTTGGTTGGATAATATATAGAGGCATCGCCCCAAATTGCTTTTGCACAAACCCTTGACTACGTAGAAACAACATTGTTGGTTCAGAAGTATTGTTATCCCTACAAAGTCTGTAAATAATCTGATAACAGCAAGCTGCCAACGCGGGAAATTCTGATAATACAGAACACTGCTTATCAGGTTCAGTATCATCATGAATCGGTTGGCCAAGGATTTCCAATATTTTATGTAAACAAGATTCTCTAAGGCAATCTTGATTTATATACTTGATTATTGGTGATTGTAATGATCCACGAAGATTGTAACCCAATAGAAAATGTGAGATTGTAGGTGGTGTTTTATCAGGTTTTAAGTTTTCCAATATTAAATTTAAAATGGCACATCTCACTGTACCAAATGTTATTTCTGATTCATCGATTAATGGCAATGCACTAAATTCTTCATCTCCAGGTATGGCCCAAGCCTGAAGTCCGAGTTGTGTTAACTCAAAATCTTCAAGCTTGTATTTTTTATCCCAAACATCATCACCACCATTTATATCTAATCTCATAACAAAAACATCAAGAATTGCCTCTGAATTCTGATCAGAATCTAAGATAGCTGCCAATCTATTTTCTACACCTATTGGATTAAATAATGCAGACTTAGCAAGGGCAGACAAAATTTTGACAGCATATAAACATATCTCGGCGTTTTCGCAATTTAATAATAATGCAATTTGTACAATAATGTCTTGTTTGGAACGGAATGCATTTTCTAGATTTTCTAGATATCCTGGAGAAGTTTGACTTACTAATGGAATTAACTTATTTAAAAATCGTTCTTGTTTTTCAAATGCTATCCAAAATATTCTCAAACATCGTAAAATAGACTCCTTAATGAATGGTACGGATGATTTCCTGTTAACTTCATCGACTTCATCAAGTACTTCTATATCCTGATTAAGGATATTAAACATCACTTCCACAAGAGGAGAATTATTTAGTAATCTTTTCATTATGTCAAATCCCGGGTGATTCTTTAAATATTTAATCGCATTGTTATTTAAAGTAACGATTTCATCTTTGCTAATACCTCTCTGAATGAATGGTAATGATTCTGGTGAATGTTTGGATTGAACTTCATAAAATAATGGTCCAGTCAAGTCAAAAGAAATCAAACATTTTTCAATAACCTCTAAAGAGGCAGCTATTATATTCCATTGTTGTGTAGGAAATTTATAATCACGTGCAAGTGCTTTAATAAAAATATCATCTAAAATAAAATTGATGTATGGAGAAATACCAGGTTGCCGATAACCTGCACCAAGAAGATCATTAATAGACATAGAACGAACAGGGAATCCACAACGTAATGCAGCATTAAAATGAGGAACGTGGATCAATACACCAATGAACCGCACAAAGGCTAAAGTTACGAAAAATAATTTCTCGCGAGATTCTGTTTCCTCAATCTCCTTTTTTATGCTCGGTGGATCTTGTGCTTGCATATTCGCGACTTCCCAAACGCTAGCCGGGTCGAATACAATATCTTTTGGTACAGTAGGCACAATTTGCGCATCTTCCAAGAGATCCCAAACTTGTCTTGTGATATAATTATGATCAGCGTAATCTGATACGCAAAAAGATGAAATTGCATAAAGAAGCTCTGCTTTTAATTCAGTGTGAACATTTCGACACATTAAGCGAAAAAGTAGTCTCAAAACATTATCTTGGAGAAATCTTAATCTGGCTTGTATTGAATATCGAATAAC